ACGATATTGGTTAATAGTTTTCATTCATGACTTAACTTCTCCCCATAGCACGTCACACACGGTTTTTAAATGTTTTGACGTGAATAAATAAGTAAATGATGATCATTGTGTTGTCCAATGTTCGAGAACTGAAAAGTTACCCACTGCGGCAAGGGCGTCTTGTTGGGTATCGCATGGGCACCCAACACTTCCAAATCTATTTTTATTTCCCTATTAGTCGCCTCGGTCTGAAACACCTAATTACCTGTTGATTGGATTGTTCCCAAGTAAGGAGTGAATAAGGAATCTGATTAGGTCGGTATCTGATAATAATGCGATCCGATTAGGTTACTGTTCTAAGAGTAAATGTTGGTGCGAATTTAGGCAGCGTTGGCGGATTTTTATTTTAATGTTTTCCACTTGATATAGTCTGCCAGTTTTCACCACCTGAAATATTCTGCCATCTACCGTTTTTGGCATAATCTGCAAAGAATTAAGGTTAACAAGCTCTCATAATTAACCAAATCGATTTCGTAGGAAAGGTCTGAATTATTTTTACAAATTTCTTTTTCGATCCCATAGTTTTATAATATAATACGTTCGTATAGTTTTCTTATTATTCTCATTTTTGCAGAAAGTATATTAAAAACAAAAAAAATAAATGTATCTCCTAGCATGAATCGAAGCCATTATATAGTCTGGTGCAACGTATGAGATAATTGTCTCAAATATAGACTTCTCAATTAGTTGAATACCATAAAATCTACTTAACTTTGCATAATTGTAATCCAATTATTAGAGGTTTATGAAATTGTAAGTAATTGTCGAAAATATATTTTTCGCAAATAACATTCGCAGAACTAACTTAATCAGGTAATAAAGGGAAAGATATAAAATGTATTCTACAACTGGACTGATGTTCATACATGCACACATGTATGTAGGCAAAACCTACGTATGCTCGAGTGATGGAGAATTGGTCGGATAATGGCTGGATGAATGGAAGGATGGGGGGCGGGGAATGAAGGCAGGGAGAAAGCCAGTGAAGGATGCAGGGCGAGGCAAGACGGAAGACAGAGAAGAAAGTAGGACTGCAGGAAAGAAGAAAGACAGGGAGAGAGGGAGGGGTAGGAGAGTTTGTGATTTGGGAATAGATCTTTAACCTTTGCATCAAAGTTCAGGTATCAATCCGAGTTCACGTTTATAAATAGCCTTTAATTCTAATGCACTTGCATCTTTCCTTCTCCAACCTGTAATTTCGCTTCTAAAATTAACCCATTTCTAAAATTAAACCGGACTGCGGTATGCTTCATGCACAGTTGGCATGGAGGGACGGGGTCTTTTGTTTGCATGACGTGGGAGGTCTAACTTACAATCCGCTGATTCAGTATTTTAAAATGTCATTCAGCGAGTTCCCATTGTATACTAAAAGATCTTACTTGGTTAATTAATTTTTGCTTTTTTGCCATATTAACCTTCATTTATGGGTTTAAAATCGATTGTGCATACTTGAACATAAAACCAAAATGTGCAACATATTGATGACTTCTAAAAATGACGTTCTCTTCTAGAAATTTTACTTATTGGATTCCAAAATGCGTTACTTTATTTCTGAAATTATTCGAGTCTACTTTACAATGGATTTAATACGTTCCTATGCATCCACGCATTATTGCTCTTATGTTGTATTAATTTTATAATCATTCAATGAGTTTCTATTGTAGAATGTCATAATTTTGAATTCACCATCCTTAAAATGTTCACCACTGTCAAGGATGAGTCAAGATTCGCAATTCTTTGAGACCAACAATGTACTTTGCTACTCTCGTGTTCTTTATCGAGCTACTTTATAATTTACGGACATATTACACCATTATTTGGTAATGTACACACTTGGAATTTCTAGGCAAACGGAAATTAAGTCTTCTGACTTAGGTTATCAAAATTAATTTTAATCACATTGAATGAATATGATTTCAAGAAACACATTTTTAAAGAGCCACTAGTATAAGCGTTTACTTTTGGGGAATGCAGAGCGGACATAAACTTCAATTTTTACCGGTAGGGCTTAAAGAGAATCAATGTCAAATGTTCATATAAAACTACGAATGCAACAAAAAAATCAAAATACTTTCGTCAAATACTTCTGATCTAAGTTTAACTTAGTACGCAAGTAAGTGATTTGTATACACTAGAACCCCTCTAATCGGAACCCCGCAAATCCGAAACAAAATTTGGGATAGAGGAAAAAAATAAACAAAATATATGTAATGCATTTATGTAAAGAAAGGATTTTATAATTACTGTAGAACTGAACTACTAATTTTTAAAACACAAGTAGAAATGAAACGTTTATTGTAATGGTAACTTCGGTGTACATAAAATGTTTATGTAGCAGTGATTTTCACTCAGAGAAACTTGCAAAATCGATTACCTTCATTTTCTCGTAAGGAATTGAATCTGCATGATAATGCGATGTGGCGACGTGATCGCTATGCTACGCTGCCATTTTCTCAAATCGCACGCTACGTTGCATTGTCGGATAATCCTATAGATGTATTTGTTCATGTAGCGTACATTTTTCGGATAATCCGAACATTTTCGAATCGGAACAGAAAACACCCCCCGTTAGTTCGGAATACCAGGGTTCTATTGTCCTTGAATCAAAATAAAAAACAAAGTCAGTAAGGCTGTCTAAAAAGTAGCGCATGACACACGTGGTAACAGTGATTTAATTTTGCTCATTGTATTTCACAACTCGGTCTACCCTCCTCGCCTCGCAAGATTTTTCTACCCTCAAAATAAAATGTTACTATTATCACTCGTATCATAAATAACTACTACAAAACCAAAATTGCAGATTTCTCTATTGGGACATGAAAGTCTATTCGTCCTGTAAAATCTTTAAAATGTCTGTTTTGTGCGGAAAAAATCCTCCGGACCAAACCGGAAATTTATATTAAATAAAAATTACTGGACGCGCCCTGTCTCACAAAAGGAAGAAATAATCTATGTACTCTCAGTTATTCCACTTCATGCACCAATCACAAGTGTAGAAGTAATAAAGATAATTCGCTGTGTCAAAAATATCATACTATTTTTTAAATGCAATTATCAAATATGAATTTCCTGTTATCTTCATATCGGTGTATCTTTTAATAATCTATGCTCATGAGGTAATACAATTGATTGAAGTTAAATAAAAATGATATGAAAAATATATTTTTAACACGCCGAGCTCCAAAAACGGTTTCCCGTGCTTGTTTTTCACACGCGAAAAAGTGTTATTTTTTTAAATTCTAACTAATAGTGTCCGAAACATCGCGAAGAGTGAGAAAAACGGAAAATTGAAAACCCCCAAAATGTTTTTTTCTTGCCGATCAGTACTTATTCTCAAATCGAATAATGTTTGCAACTTCTGTAGTTATACAATAATTATTCATTGTGAACACAGACTTAAACAACTTCCCGAAAATGATGTTTTAAATTTACCAAGATCTCTACATGTATCTTTGCAGATTATTGTAGTTTTGTAGACTATCGAACATGTATTGGCTTATATCGTAAACTACTTTATATTTATGTTTTGAGAACTATTCACTTTAACATAAAAACGTAATGCGCCAGATATAACTATTTATAATCAATGATTTTTGTGTGGAAGGACACATGTGACAGGAAATTGCTGAATAATACCTTTATATACACTCACTAATCTTTGCACATAAAAACAGTTATCTTTGAACTTTAAAATCTCGCTATCTCTGCTTTGCCAACTATAATGTCATGACGAAATAATATTTTCAGATCAGTTATAAACTTTCACGCATGAACGCGCTAATGATGAAATGTGACCGCGTTCGTTTTGATATAGTTAAATATAATATTTGTGTTGATTCAAAAAGTATTGATTAAGTCGATTAATCGCGAAAGAAAACGACTAATAATAACTACAATTGTTTGATACAAGCTCTTGAAAACCAGGCAATCTGCAAATGATAGGAGATAAGCGATTAATATATTTATTTTTATTTACTAGTATACTATTACTAAATTAATTGTTTTTACTATAAAAAGAGTTAATAAAAGCTAATGTATATACATCAATGTTATATTACTTTAATTTATTTCTAAACAGAAACTCTTAATGTTAAAAAATAGGAGATTTCTAATAACTAGGGGTACTACAGAATGGCATAGACTTCCCGTATTCGTTTTCTATTTCCTTTGGTCTGGTCTATCTATACGAACATGTCTCTCACTCTTGCCAATTACCATATAGCGCCCCCCCAAATATTTATTTAATTTTCTTAATTTTTGGTTTTCTAACAGTAGAACGGAAATATTATTTTAAGAATATTAAAGAACAGTAAAACTTTGTTCTAAATGGCAATTTTCTTCCAAAATTTTGAAGCTATTTTTAAGAAAATGGCGTTTAAACCCTACTGTAAATTCGAAATTTGAAGATTTTTGTCTTGGGCATGATTCTCTGGACATGATTCTCAACGCCCACTAAAATTAAGTTTATGAAACTCTCGATTAGACAAATGCATCTCAGCTGATAGCTGTCAATTCGCCACACGTTTTAATCGGAGTACAGATGTGTGCAATTGTGATCAAACTTGTGTGTGCCTGTGTGTATTCTGTGTGCGTTAGCGCGTGCGTGTGTGTGTATGTGCGGTCATTGGAAAGGTAGTACATGAATTAAAACTTGGCTTAACATTCATATAAAGCAACAATCCAGAACCTTGGTTGAGTAAAAAGTTCAAATTTCATTCTAAACGAAAACCCTTTGAAGTTTTAATTAGAATATTTCAAATAAATGTGGATTTCAGGATTTACAAATCAGATGTCCATACTGCCTAACTTTAGTCCAATTGACATATGATCAACTGGGTGGCGGTTATCCAAATGGCAGCATTAGTACCAAGAATTAAGATGTAGAGAATTATAATGCAATTGGATACACGCGCCTCAGCTGATCTCTGTGAATTTATTCCGAGTACAGTGGTGTGATGGAGGTTGCCTTTGTGTGTGCGCGCAGCCGCGGCGGCGGCGGCAGCGGCGGCGGCGGCGGCCGGGCCGGCCGGCCGAAACGGCGACCTGGCTGGACCCCGAGAAGCCATGCCTGGCTCTGCTGGCGCGTCGTGGCAACACAGCAGCAGCATCCGAGCGCTCCCCGCTCTCGACGCCCCGCTGAGAGCCCCGCGGTGCGCGCCCAATCCGCACGCGCCCGCTCTTCGCAGGTCAGTGCCCCTCACTCCCTCACTCCTCTCACCCTCACTGCCACTTCATCACCCACCACACTACCCTCACCGCACCCGCCCATCACCCGCCACACCACCACTCACACCATACCCCCACACCTCTCAACCCTACGCCATCCTTACTTTTCTCAAACCACACTACCACACCAACACATCCCTCAGGTACAAGAACCGGGCCCCTCACCTCCTTAGCCCCCCCCACGCCACCCGCCCAATCCCCATTCTCAAGCACCAAACCTCTCACCCACACACTCTCACACCCCACCCAAGCCCCTTTACCCCACATCCCCGCCGCCCGCGCGTCAAACCTTCTTACGCACACCCTCGCACACACCACTCCTCACACTACACACACCTCATCACATTCAACCCCCCCTCACCCCACTCACCCCTCACGACCACAACCTCCTAACTTTCACCCCAGCAACCCAGATCCAACACCCTCACTCCTCACGAGCCCTCCCTCACTCCACTCATCCCCTCACTACCCCTAACCCCACGTTCCACCCCAATATTTCACACCCGCACTAACCCTCACACCATCTCACCACACCATCCTTACCCCACACAACCCTCACCCTACGACATCCCCCGCACCACACCTCCCCACACAACCCTCACCCCCACATATCTTCCACCCCTCACAACCCACAACCCCTTTACACCACACCACCCACACAACCCCTCACCCTACGCACACTAACACCACAAACCCCTCACCACCACAATCTCCCACTACCATTTCACTCCCACGCCATCCTCCGTATTCAGCAACCCCCGCACCCCACACTACCCATCACACCCCACCACTCCTCACACCACACCACCCCTTTGCCACACACTACCCAAACCCCTACGCCACACCTCGCACCAGCAATCACTCCTCACCACTACAACCACTCTCTTCCACATCACCCTCACCCACTCCACTCACCCAACACACATCCCCTCCCTACCATTTCAACACACGCCACCCCAGACCTCAGCCACCCCGCCCCACACTACCCTCACCCCCACTCCTCACATCCCACACACCCCTTTCGCCACACAACCAAAACCCCTACGGCACCCCTCGCACCACATCACTCCTCACACTACACACTATCATCCCACATCATCCTCACCCCCATGCAGCCCTCACCACCACTGATCCCCTCACTACCCCTCATGGGTGAAAACATAGCTACTTCTCATGATAAAAAACACGTAGTACACTTATAGGACTAATGACCATAGCAGTTGGTATGCTTGGAAACTTTAATCAATCAATCAATCACTTTACCGCTCATCTCACCTCACCATCTATTCGCCTTCCCCATCATCTCCTATTATCAGAGCTCATTTTTCGGCTTTAACTCCAGAACCTCTCACGTTTCTCCCTCTTTTTTTTTCCTTTCTCCTTCAGCCCCTACGTCATACCTCCCAATCTTCGCTCTTCACCTCGCACCTTCACCTTTCACCTTTCACCTTTCACCTATCACTCTTCTGTCTACCTCTCACCGCTATCACATCGTCTCTTACTCCTCACCCTTCACCTCGGAAGTTCAACCAAAAACCTTTCACACCTCACCCTCTCATTTTTCTCTTTCATCATCACCTCTAACTTCTCATCCATCACCTCTCGTCCATCACCACCGCCCCACCTATTTTTTATTGTGAATAAAGTAGATTACAAGTCAAGTAGATTAAAATTTAAAATTATAGTAAATTATATATTCAAATAATTAGTAAATATGTTAAAATTGACAGTTGTCAATGGCAAATTATTGGATGTGGAAGTACCACTGTGGTGTGTGGGGCAGTTGCTTGGTGTTCATGAGAGAAACCACGGCAAACTACCAATCAGAGCAGCCGGCCACTAGAATTCTCCTCCAGACAGCTGCTGAATTCGACTTCCCACCTACATACCTTCTACAACAAAAAGACTACTTTACAACAAAAAGACTACAAAAAGTACTTTCTTTGCACTTCACTCCTTATACTTCGCACATTACAATCAATATCCAACCTTTCACCGTGCGCCTTCATTTCGTCACCCTCACCATCCCTCACTCTTCACCTTCCACCTCTCTTCCCTTACTCCCATCCCACAGCCACCAATCTCCCGAGTCTCACTCCTTATCATTCTCATCCTCACCACAACTCACTTTTGAAAACTCACATTCAATCTCAGAACATAACCTATCACCATACTCTCACAACTTATTATTTCTCTCATCACATGCCGACATTGCGACTATTTGCTAATCCACGCATCAACATCGTGACCCCTAAAGCAAACTAGCATAGAAAGAAAGAATGCACATCGGTGATTTTGAGGACCTTTTCTAGACATGAAGAAACTGGAATACACAATTTATGCCTAAGGATATACAAAAAGTTCAAATTGGTTACTTGATTTGTTCAGAAAAGAAAGGTTGTTCGAAATAATAAATACACGTCCTAATAATGCTTCAAGAAAGAAGCCAAATTTCTTAAAATCTTATAATATTATCTAGAAATACTAATTTGAACTTTTAAGTTGGTAATTGATTAATTGTATAAAACATTAACCATTTTTACAATATTTTAAAAATTTGCTTAAAGTGATTTTCCATTTACCAGAAGGAATATATCAGCAGCAACATGTGTTAATATTTGCCAAAAAACATGAAACACATTCACAAAATTTCTCAAAATAACTATTTCACAAAAACAGTGAAGGAAATCTTCTGTTACAGACCGGCTGGGCGAATTCCTGGATATGATCTAACGGATGCCGATGACTGGGAACTTAGCATGGACAATAATGAACTTGACTCTGAAGACGATGGACCAGGTAAGTGTTCCCATACGTTACCAATCATGTTTCCGATTTTTTTTTTAAAGCATCATTCTGAACATTACTTTTTCAATTTATATACTTTCCAATTCTATTATATCCGGTATAGTTTTATTAGCAGTTATATAACCATTCGCTCCACAACAACACTCCGTGAAGAAACATTCCTATTGAAGGATAATTACGATGAAAACATACACGAACAGGGTGATGTAATACGGTTGCCACAAAAGAAAATCTGGAGATCTATTCCCGACGTATTATGTGGTTTGTTGATAAGACCTTCAAGGTACATTTGAAGCATATTAATGCATTTGTTAACTATAGTGTATTTAATTAAAAGGAACGACAATTATTCAAATAGTGAAGTCCAAACTACTTTATCAATGGTATCTAGTTCGTTATGTAATACAGATAAAAGTTATTTTTCAGAAAAGCTCCCAAATGCAGCTCAAAATATTAGCACTCAAATAGTATTACGAAGCTCATTAATGTCATAAAAGACTACAACAAACAACATATCCCTGGCGGTGAGTTTTGTTGCTGTTTCTTCCATTTGTCGCAAACTGTATACAAAAAAATACAGAAGGAAAGACTACATGAGCAATATAAAATCCTAGAAAACCGCTAGATAAAAACAGAAACAAACACGATGTTAAGGCTTGTTTTGTGCCAGAACTTGTGGAACGCTTGTTTGAACAGAACTGATGTGGCGCAAGTTAAATCAATGACTCGAAAAAAGTTAACTGCACAAATTAATGCTACTGTTTTGAACTATCATCAATATAAACAATAAAAAAATCTCTGTAATTTATTCGTGTAAATATATTACATTGGATTCACTATAAAATCTCAAATATAAATTGAAATTAATATGGATAAATAGCTATGAATTAAAGTGTTCGCAAAATTGTAGATACTCCTCTTCGTTGTGATGTAATGTTTCTTAAGTTTGTACTTAAGTTATTCATGTCATTTATAAATCGAGGAGGTAAAATTTCTTGAAAAGTTCCTTTAAAACTGATTTTTATTTTCTGCTCTTTCTTATTCTTGGATTCTTACACGTTGTGGCCGCAATAACCCAAGTTCGAATCCTGGTCACGGCAGTGCCATAGTATCTTTCATATTTTGAAAACGATATGATCTTACCTTACTATATATGCCAGGCACACATTCTCCGAACGGTCGACAGCCGTGATCGTCTAGTGGTTAGGACATTCCGTTGTGGCCGCAATAACCCAGGTTCGAATCCTGGTCACGGCAGGTGATTCGTGTTTCGAATATTTTTTCTATGGTACTTCTTCCTAAATATACGTACAAAACATACTTTCTCCAGGCGGTCGTTAGCCGTGATCGTCTAGTGGTTAGGACATTGCGTTGTGGCCGCAATAACCCAGGTTCGAATCATGGTCACGGCAGTGCCAAAGTTTTTTTTATATTTTGAAAACGATGTGATCTTACCGTACTATATATGCCAGGCACACTTTCTCCGAGCGGTCGACAGCCGTGATCGTCTAGTGGTTAGGACAGTGCATTGTGGCCGCAATAACCCAGGTTCGAATCCTGGTCACGGCAGTGCCATAGTATCATTTATATTTTGAAAACGATGAAATATTACCTTACTATATATGCCAGGCACGCTTGCGAGACGTCGCTACCCGTGATCTTCTAGTGGTTAGGACATTGCGTTGTGGCCGCAATAACCCAGGTTCGAATTCCTGGTCACGGCAGGTGATTCGTGGTTTTGAATATTTTTAACTAATGGTACAACTTCCTTCATAAATATATGTACAGATGCATATTTTCTCCAAGCGGTTGACAGGCGTGATCGTCTAGTGATCGTAGGACATTGCGTTGTGGCCCGCCATAACCAGGTTCGAATCCCTGGTCACGGCAGGTGATTCGTGTTTGAATATTTTTACTATGGTACTTCTTCACTAAAATATACTGTAAGCAAAGGCATACTTTCTGCATGCGGTTGACAGGCGTGATCGTCCTAGTGGTTAGGGACATTGCGTTGTGGCCGCAATAACCCAGGTTCGAATCCTGGTCACGGCACGTGCCATAGTATCTTGAATTTTGAAACGATGTGTCTTACCTTAGTATATATGCAGGCACCCTTTCTCCAAGCCGTCGACAGCCGTGGATCGTCCTTAGTGGTTCGGACATTGCGTTGTGGCCGCATATAACCCAGGTTCGAATCTGGTCACGGCCGTGCCATAGTATCTTTGATTTTGAAACGATGTGGATCCTTAGCTTAGTATATGCCCAGGCACCCTTTCCTCCACCGTCGAACAGCCGGTTCGTTAGTGGTTCGGACATTGCCGTTGTGGCCGCAATAAACCCAGGTTCGAATCCTGGTCACGGCAGTGCTCATAGTATTTTTTGAATTTTGAAACGATGTGGATCGTACGCTTAGGTATATATGCCCCCAGGCCAACCCTTTCCTTCAAGCCGTCCGACGCCGTGACTGCGTCTAGTGTTTCGGACATTGCGTTGTGGCCGCAATAACCAGGTTCGAATTCCTTGGTCCACTAACAGCAGTGCCACTAGTGGTTTTTTATTTTGTAAAACGATGTGATCTTACCTTACGATTATGCCAGGACTCTTAATCAGAGTGGTCGACAGCGTGATGTCTAGTGGTTTTGGAATTGCGTTGCGGTGGCCGCCAATAACCAAGGTTCGAAACCTGGTCCACGGCAGTGGCCAAAGTTTTTTTTTTTTATATTTTGAAAATGTTTGTGATCTTAACTGTAGTATTAATATGCCAGGTAACACTTCCCGACGGCCGACAGACGTGATGTCCCTAGCTGGTTAGGACATTACGTTGTGAACCAATAACCCAGGTTCGAATCTGGTCACGGCAGTGTCATAGTATCTTTATATTTTTGAAAACGATGTGATCTTACCATACTTATCATGCCAGGCACAACTTTCTTCCCAAGCGTGACAGCCGTGATCGTCAGTGGTTAGGACTTGCGTTGTGGCCCGCAATCACCGCCAGGTTCGAATCTGGTCCACGGCAGGTATTCGTGTTTTGAATATTTTTTAACTATGGTACTTTCTTCACCTAAATATATGTACAAGGCATTCTTTCTTCTCCAAGCGGTTGACAGGCGTGATCGTCCTAGTTGTTAGAACATTGCGTTTGGTGGCCGCAATAACCCAGGTTCGAATCTGGTCACGGCAGGTGATCTCACGTCGCGCTCTCTCGAAATATTTTACTATGGGCTACTTCTTCACTAAATATATGTAAAGGCATACTTTCTCCAACGGTTGACAGGCGTGACGTCTAGTGTTGGATTGCGTTGTGGCCGCAATAACCGCAGGATCCGAATCCTGGTCACGGCGTGCCATAGTATCCTTGAATTTTGAAAACGATGTGAATCTTACCTTACTATATATGTCAGGCAGCACCTTTCTCCGAGGGTCGACAGCCGTGACGCTCTAGTGGTTAGGACATTGCGGTTGTGGCCCGGCAAATGACCCAGTTTCGAATCCTGGTCCACGGGCAGTGATTCATGTTTTGACTATTTTTTACTATGGTATTCTTGATAATATATATAACAAGGCATATGTTCTGCGAGGCGGGTCGACAGCCGTGATTGTCTAGAGGTTAAGACATTGCGTTTTTGTGATCCAATAACACAGGTTCGATCTGGGTCACGGCAGTGCCGCATGTAATGTTTATATTTTGAAACGAATGTGATCTTCCTTACTATTAACTATGCCCGGCCAAACTTTCTCCAAGCCGTCGAATAGCCGTGATCGTCCTAGTGGTTAGGACATTGCGTTGTGGTCGCACTAACCCAGGTTTCGAATCTGGTAACGGCAGTGCCATAGTATCATTTGAGTTTTGAAAACGATGTGATTTTACCTACTATATATGCCCAGGACAACATCTCCGAACGGTCGCAAGCGTGATCGTCTAGTGTTAGACATTACGTTTTGGCTGCAATTACCCAGGGTTCGAATCCTGGTCACGCAGTGCCATAAGTATCTTTTGAAATTTTGAAAACGATGGTGATTCTTACTAACTATATGTACAGGCTAATACTTTCTTCACGAGCGTCGTACAGCCGATGATCGCTAGTGGTTTAGGCATTGCGTTGTGGCGCATAACGGGTTCGAATCCTGTCACGGATCAAGTATGGATTCGTAGTATTTGAAAATTACGTATAGTACTTACTTACTAATAATTATGCACAGGGCCTACCTTTCTCCAACGGTCGTTGACAGCGTGATCGTCAGTGGTTAGGACATTGCGTTGTGTCTGCAATAAACCCAGGTTCGAATTCCTGTCACGGCAGTGCCATGACATGTTTTTTATAATTTTGAAACGATGTTGATCTTACTTACGATAGTATGCCAGGCACATCTTTCAAAGTGTCGACAAGCCTGTGATCGTTCAGTGGCTAGGACATTTTGGTTGTGGCCGTCAAATAACCCAGTTCAATCCTGGTGGCATAGTGCCATAGTTCTTTTTATATTTTGGAAAACGATATGTATCTTACTTACTATATATGCCCAGGCACACTTCCGAACGGTCGACAGCGTGATCGTTCTAGTGGTTAGACATTGCGTTTGGCCGCAATAACCACAGTTCGAATCCTGGTCACCGCAGTGCCATAGTACTTTCATATTTGGAAAACGATTGATCTTACTTTACTTGATATTATGCCAGGCACACCTTCTCCGAGGTCGACGAGCCGTGATTCGTCTAATGCTTAGGACATTGCGTTGTGCGGCAGTAACCCAATTCGAATCCTGTCACGGCAGTGCCATAGTACGTTTCTATTTTGAAACAGCTTGATCTTTACCTTACTATATATGCCTAGAGGCATCTCCCGAACGCGTCGACAGCCGTGATCGTCTAGTGGTTACGGACATTACCGTTGTGCCCGCAAATTAACACAGGAATTCGAAATCCTGGTCACGGCAGGTGCCATAGTAGTTTTTTATATTTTGAAAACATAGTATCTTACTTCTTACAGATT